CAAGGGACCCATTAAACTGAATGGCACGGGTATCTACCACAACAAAATCATCTTTCCCAAGAGCTTCGATTTTCGGTGGCACAAGAAAACCCACCACAAGAACCGTTAAACCTATGAGCATAAAAGCTGTCCCAGAGATGAGTCCGACCTGGAAAACAAAGAAACAAAACAAATTAATATGAATTTCCAGTTTTTTACAGGTAAGTGGTCCTAGAAGGCATCTAGCTTTCACAGTGTCTTGCATGTAGAGTTTTCTCTTCCAGAAGAAGGATGATATTTTTCTTTCAGGTCATTATGTGACACTACCAGAAGTAGAATATATGGAGAAACTGCCTTTTTACAACTTTAATTCAGCATTTACATTTCTGGAAACAATGGAACATGCATTTATACATCCAAAGAGCATTTCACGTCCAAAGGCTCTATCACATACAGGATCACAGTTTAAGCCCGGTGCTGTGTGACAGATTTCTTTAGTTTTAGGTGGTGGTTAGGACCAACATTTCAATCCCTGCTGACAGTCATATAATCACAGTGTCATATTCACCGCTTGCTTTTACACCATGAAATTCCTTCACAGAGATCAGAAGGAAGTTGCTATTGCTATGAACAGATCACAGACTATTTCTAGCACATTTCAAGTGTAAAGTGCAAAATCTGGGTTGCACAGAATGCCCCTACCATCAGAGCAGAGGGGTTGAATTAGATGGCCTCATGGGCCCCTTCCAGCCTCTGATGTTCTCCAGTTCTGTCAAGTTCCCTGACCTTAACAGAGACCTTGCAGTTTTCTTGATCCCTAAGTCACGCAGTCCTAGAGTTACTGCTGTTAACCTACCAGTCCTACTCCCAGTAGTTTGGCAGGACTACTGTGGGTGCAGACCAAAGGTAAACTACACTTTCAAGCTATGTGTGGAATTTCCCAGGCAACACTGTGATGTTTCAGTGATATGGCTCCTTGTGACACAGAAATTAGAGGATTCAAAGACCCTAGAACTCCCTTGAAAATTGATTCACCTTGGTAAGAGCACCCTGCTTTCAGAGAGATTGTAACTCAATCATCAGGGAAAACTGAGCAACAGAAGGCCTTAGTTATTTTCCCATGTAACTTAACTCATGAGTTACATGAGAAAGTACTGCAGTGTGAGTTTCTAATGCCAGTAAACAGCAACATGCAGTACCTTCCAGAACGTAGAGCTCCACCTGCTAGGCGATCTCTGGATCTGAAAATCATCCTCATACTCCCAAATCGAAGCTGTGCAGTCTTCATAGAACTGATGCAGGTAGGACCGAACTCCATAGCGTTGGTACCCTCCCTCAGTGCCTCCCTGTGCATGCTTGGACCCACAGATGTCAGCATAGGAGCTCATCCTTCCTACCTGCAATGAGATGTTTCATGCAAAACAGATTAATAGTGATGTGGCAGGAGAGGAAAACTAGAAACTCCCCAGCTGACACGAAGAAAAGCATCCCAGGAGAGACATTTCCTTCATGTTTTTCCAAACAAAAAAATGGGCCTGGTAAAGTTGCATGCAGTGATCCAGCTCAAGAGAACCCAAGGCACTCAGTGTCTTGGCACAGCACAGCCTAAAGGTGCTGAAGGGAACAGTGCCTTCCATATGCAGGGTGCCCACACCCCATCTTTTGTACCAGCATGCTATTACGTTTCTATGCAGACTGAGAAAAGCAGAATATATCAGGTGACGTCCGACACCTGGGTGGGAGCAACCCCAGGCACAGCTACAGGTTGGGTGGAGAAGAGATAGAGAGCAGCCCTGCGGAGAAGGCCCTGGGGGGGTCAATAAGAAGATGAACATGAGCTGGCAGTGTGTGCTCGCAGCCCAGAAAGCCAACCGTATCCTGGGCTGCATCAAAAGGAGCGTGACCATTTAAGGGAATGGAACATCTCTCTTATGAGGAGAGGCTGAGGGAGCTGGGACTCTTTAGCTTGGAGGAGACTGAGAGGTGACCTCATCAATGTTTACAAATATGTAAAGGGTGAGTGTCAGGATGATGGAGCTAGGTTTTTTTCAGTGATGTCCAGTGATAGGACAAAGGGCAATGGGTGTAAACTGGAGCATAGGAGGTTCCATGTGAACATCAGGAAAAATTTCTTTACTGTGAGAGTGATAGATCACTGGAACAGTTTGCCCAGGGGGGTTGTGGAGTCTCCTACGTTGGAGATATTCAAGGCCCGCCTGGACAAGTTCCTGTGTGGTGTACTCCCGGTTACCCTGCTCTTTCAGGAGGGTTTGATGATGATCTTTTGAGGTCCCTTCCAACCCTTAGGATTCTGTGATTCTGTGACCAGCAGGTTGAAGGTGGTGATCCTGCCCCTCTACTCTGCGCTTGTGAGACCCCACTTGGAGTACTGTGTGCAGTTCTGGTGTCCTCAACATAAAAAGGACATGGAACTGTTGGAACAAGTCCAAAGGAGGGCCACGAGGATGATCGGGGGACTGGAGCACCTCCCGTATGAAGACAGGCTGAGAAAGTTGGGGCTGTTCAGCCTGGAGAAGAGAAGGCTGCATCAAGACCTCATAGCAGCCTTCCAGTATCTGAAGGGGGCCTATAGGCATGCTAGGGAGGGACTCTTTCATTAGAGACTGCAGTAATAGGACAGGGGGTAATGGGTTCAAACTTAAACAGGGCAAGTTTAGATTGGATATAAGGAGGAAGTTCTTTACTGTAAGGGTGGTGAGGCACTAGAATGGGTTGCCCAAAGAACTTGTGAATGCTCCATCTCTGGTGGTGTTCAAGGCCAGGCTGGACAGAGCCTTGGGTGACATGGTTTAGTTTGAGGTGTCTCTGCCCATAGCAGAGGGGTTGGAACTTGATGATCTTAAGGTCTTTTCCAACCTTCACTATTCTACGATTCTAATAAAATCCAGCATCCCCAAAGGGCTCACATTGCTTCTCATGCAGACTGCTTCTATGAATTTGATAGGGTTTGCAGCCTCAAGAACTGGGAACTAGGTAAGGTTTTTCAATTATTTTTTTTACCAAGCTTTTGAAACACAGGACTAAACACTGATAGAACATTCATAGCCATGAGAAACAGGCAAAACAAGCCCCAGACAGACTGAAACTGTATATATCTTGTACTTAAATATGGATAATTAAAACTGAAAAAGATGGAATGTCATAACAGCACCGATCTGCTCACTGAAGGGAGTGAAATTAAAATATTAAACCTGTGGCAAACCGCTGCTGCCTTAGAGAAGTCAATGTCCAACTCCTGCTGATTTTAATAAAACCACAATTTTGTCTGCTATGAAAACTGCCAACAATGTTCCCCACTCTTTCCACTTCATGGAAGTTCTCATAACACACAAAATTTATATTTAATTATGCAGGTCCCAGGTGTGAACTTGCTTCACAGGTGTGATGCTATGGAATTCATTAAAGTAATACTAGCCCCTAAAAACTTGAGCAGCAGGTCCATGTTATTTAAATTGACTGATTTGTCTTTAAAGAAGTTCAGAAAGTCTTAGTCCAAAGGGAACTGTTAATCAGTACTTGCATCTGAATGTCACAGCTCAAATTATATCAGCTTTAAGCAGCTCATCTGATTGCCACAGCAATTTTACTTAAAGGGAAGGAAGGAAGGTCTGACGTGCTCACAGCAGCTAGGGCCTCCAAATTTCACGCTCTGCAGGCCTTTGCTCTTCAGGAATGAGTGATCTTGGTGGGTACATTTTGAGGTACAAAACTAAAAAAAGAAGTGGTATGGATATAAGTACATAATCTAAAGTCTTGTGTGCAAACACTTAAAGTAATTCTACTTTTGGAGCCTGTTTAAGCAGAAAGGAAGTCTTTTTCCCCCTAAGGTCAAAAAAGGGGAGGACCAGACATAACATGACCAGATAGTGTGGCCCGTCAAAGCTCACTTGCGTTACTCCAGCTGCCGCCAGAAGATAATTTTAGAGCTTCTCTAGTTACTCCAGAAATCAGATAAGGCACATTGCAACTGAAGTTATTGCAATCGATTTAAAAAAACCCTTGACGTTATGTGACAGAAAACTGTATAAATATGATCTTGCATTCACTGCACTGTCTGTAGGTTTAGTAACAAAACGCCCTCCTTTCTCTTGACTAACAGTTTGAAGAATTGTCTATAGGAACCACAAAGCCTGGAATCACTTACATTACAGCTTGATTCTTTAGCAATCTGAAATGCTAATAGGTGGATTTGGTCAGGCATATGAGAAAAATGATAAATAGGAGCTGAGAGATGGAGTAAAAACAAAAATAATGATCTTTTGCTTGTAAGATTTTCGATAGCATCAAATAGTATGACCTTCTAAAATGGAAAGAAAAAAAAGAGGACTGCCAACATCACTAATTCTTCTCAAGTATTGTATATTAGTCCTACTGAACATTTTCCTTATGCTCAGACTCTTCCACTTATAACTGATCTCCCATCTTTTGCAAAATATCTTGTCCACTAGAGAGAAGGGAAGAAAGCTTCCCAGCCCTATATGACTCACAGAAGCAGCCTGATAATTTGGCCTAAGATGGTATCTCTTCTCAGCTGCAATGCAAACATAATGTTGGTGTTCTTGCTACTTACAGATGGGGCAGAGGAACTGACACAGTCAGACTATGGTGGGAGTAAACAGCTCTCCATAAATAAGAAGGAAACATGTGTCACAGCCATCAACTTACATCAGATGAATAAATACTGCAGTAGCTATGATCTCTTAAGTGTTGATGTATATTTGCATGTCTCACCTTTATGGCTGTGAAATTAAATGCTGAAATGTTGGACAACTTGCTAAACAGAGAGTCACAGTTATCTAATCCCTGTAACACACAAGATCAGAACACGCATCCAGTGGTTTAATCATTAAAAGTTCTTCTGTGCCTAAACCGGAGGTGCCTAGGAACACGTGGGATGTATGATCACAGCTTCAAAGCACACCACTGCATAGTAGCAATCCATCCCCTAGCAACTTTTGTTTCCATGGCAAAAGCTTGTCCTGTTTACTTTGAGCTTTACTATTCTCCACTGATCTGGGGAGATGTGACTGGGTTTGTGAGCAGGCAGATTAAAAGATGAGCAAGCTCTAAGAAAAATCACGCAATACATTTCCCAGCTACTTTGCTTTCCTATTGCAGGGTTGGACACATTTTAAAAAACCCTAAAACATATGTAAGAAATTGACATCTGAAAGGCCGGCAGAAGCAAACGAGGTTGTGCCATTGCTCTGTGACACACAGCACTAGATGTAAGCCACAGATGCTGATGGGTTTGCATAGGTGAAGTCCCCCTCTCCAGATTTACATACCTGGACCCTTCTGTTCAGAGGGCCGTGTTTCCTACCGAAAACAAGTTCCCTGGAAGAGTGAACACTGGAATAAATAACCTCCCTTTGACCGCAGCCTCCGAGATGGTCCTTTTGATACCTCAGACCCCTGTCACACCAGCCTCCGGCACCTCCCCAGGCCAGACGCTGGCCCAGGCCGTGCTCAGGCTCACCCTGAGCTGTGTCCATCACGCCCGAAGCGAGCCTTCCTGTGGCCGCGGCTCCGGCCTCGCCGGGGCTGGGGGAGAGGGACGAGCTGCTGCCGCTGCTCCCTGAGGGAGCCTGGGCTGCCCGGCTGCCTACCGGGGCGACTCCTGCGCTGCTGTCGTCCACCGGGGAGCCAGTGGGGCCTCCCCTGTGCGGGGACAAGGCCCAAAGGGGGGCGCAGGGGCCAGCGGCAGTCGCCAACGGCCGCGCAGACCGGAGAGCAGGACGCTGCTCCGGCCGGGCGGTACACGCTCTCCATCAACTGTCTCCCGGGCGAGGCGAAAGAACCTCGCAGTGCCCGCACTTGGGCAGGTATCCCGGTCCCCGCTACCCACCGGCACGCTTCACCCTACAGCCCGCCGCTCCTACCGGGGCCCCGAAGGCAGAGAGGCCGGCCCGGCCGCGGCGCCCCCTAGCGCAGCGCTGCGCGCATACCCCCCTCCCCGGCGGCAGCAGCCTCCCCCACGGGATGCTCCCTCACCCGGGCCGGGGGACGAAAGCCGCAGGTCCCGCAGTGCACACAGCTCTCCATCCCTTCTGCCGGGCGGCCGATGCCCCGCCGCCACTTTCCCCACGGGAAGCTCGGTGCCGTACGCCTCCCGTGAGGAGCCCCCCTTCCCGCCGCCAAACTGCGCGGCCGAAGTTTGCGGAGAGGCCCGGTGCCACGGGCCGGGGTTACCTGTCCCTCCCGCCGCTCCCCTCAGCCGGCTGAGCAACCGCAGCGGCGCTAGCTGCGGCTCTCCCTCGCCGGTCCCATCTCCGCTCTGCGCCGCGCCGGCCCCAGACACCACGTATTATGTACGGCCCGGAGCGCCGCTCGCTCCCGCTCCGTGCCTGCGCACTGAGCCGCCGCCACCGGGAGCGGAGGGGCGAGGGGAGAGCGCGGCGCGTCGCCCCCGCCCGGGGCGGCTTGTGGCGGGGACAGAGAGGGGACGCTGGGCCCAGCGGAGTCTCCGGTGAGGAGGGTCCCTCCGGCCGGGGCTCCGGCGGGGCCGCTCCTGAGGCAGGCGGGCGCACTGGGTGGCTGCCCCAGGTGCCCACCAAGGTCGCCGGTGTGTCCTCCCGGGGTGGCGGGAGCAGGAGGGACCTTGGGGCAGGTCTCTAATCGCCACCCCCATCTCCCATCCCCTGTTAAACAGCACTGAAAAATGCAGACTCAGTGTCTTGTCCGTTGGAGCCGATAGACGTTGCAAAAATACGAGCTGCAGAGAGTAAGGCACTGAGATCAAAGGGTTGGAGAAATAAATCAGTTAGTTGGCAAGGAGACCCAGGTTTTCTTTTAGGAGAAACAGTGACGCTGAGGGCCAAGTGTTAGCGTGTCGGATCTGTCCTGATAACAATAGGTTGGCTGTTCAGTGAGGAAAGATTTTAAGTGAGCAACTTAGGAGTTAAGGAAGCTGGTGAGGGAAGAGTTAGAAAGCATGACAAGGCAGGGAGAGCTGGAGATGCTAAAACGTACTCCACAAAGAGGCAATATGTAATTCCTCTGAAAAAAAGAATGAGAATGTAAAGGGCAAGAATGGTAGTCATTTCAAGGCTCTGTACTGAAGTACGCACAAAAATATTGTTGCATGCAGAAGAATGGAAGTGCATTAAAGCAAAATGGGGTAATATTAGCCGAAGGAAAAACAAGGTCTTTCTAAAGTGCTTAAATCATTACAGCACATGAAGAAGATGAGATTAATGGTGGTTTCATTAATAATAATAATGCCTAAGCTCCTTTTAAAAAGAAACCCAACCTGTAATTGGTATCAACAGTGAGTTTGGGCAGTTGCAAGCTAGGAATCGTAAAAACAGCTATTAAAGAGCAAGTAAGGGATTACATTTAGAGGAACAAACTCTTGTTTCAGTGGATTTCATCTTGTCCTTCCAAAGCTGTTATGCTTGTTTCAAGTAATGAGTAATGCCAACCAACAGTGGTTGGCCTGAGCTGAGCAGAGATACTTCCACAGCAGTATTTGATCAGTAGCACTGGTGTACCTCAGCCCAAGGTGACTAACAAGTTAATAAACTGACAATTACTTGTGAACAACCAGGAAAATACAGTGAAGTGATAAATGATTGGAAAGCAGGATGGAGTATTGGTCTTAAAAAAGATTTCCTATTTATTGTCCTGTAAGACTAACACCAGATTTACATGTTGTTTCGCAGTTTGGAACAAATGCTGCCTTATCCCAGATGAGGAAGATGTCTTCTATAGAAAAAGCAATTAATCTACCCAAGCTGTCCTCCCTCTATTCACAAAGCTAGTTTCTTTTTGATTCCTTATCTGCTGACAAAGTGAATAAATAAAAGGAACACAAAATACCTGAGCTGGCCCAGTACATTGTTTCCTCACAGAGAAGTGATGTGCTTTGTGAGCCAAGACAAATCAGTACTGTAGCAATGGGAACATTTGCACTAGCACTAAAAATTATCTGTGAACTCCAAATTAACAACCCTGAAGGATAACCACTGATAATCTCAGAAGCTGCTTCTAGTCCACTTTTGGAGCATTAGGAAAACTGTAAACTCAGTCTGAGGTGAGGGCTGTTCTTGAAGTATAGCTGAGGTCTTGAACAGAAGAATGTAAATGGCCTTTTTAGCCTTGAAATGGGTAACATCAGTGCAAAGATCATTTAGACTGTTTATCCTGAAAGCTTTATCTGGGAGTGGCATGCAGAGCAAGTGCAGTATTCTACCTCAAGTAAGTTTTTAACTTGTTGGGGTCTATTTTTCTCTTGTGGAAAGGAAACCCAAGCCTAGTGCTTTCCTTGTCTTCCACCTGCTGTGCTAGAGGTCTGTGATGGATAGTAGTGAGCATACTGAGGAAACAATCCTCTATTATTGAAATCCTTTGTAGGTGGTGGTGTTGGTTGCCATAGAATTTACAAGGTTCTCTCTTACTGAGAGGTGATCAGCCAGTTTTGTGAGCACAGCTTAGTTAGCTTCTGGGAGCCTGTCCTGAATAGGAGAAATTACCACTTCTGGAAAACATGCTTCTCTTGTAACAAAATGCAGCAATTGGTATGAGACTCATGTTCACTGACTTGCAGATGTCTGTTCCTATTTGCTTAATGGTGATGGCAAGCTTCCAGAGGCTCTGCTTCTGTTTCACGTGTTGCAGAAAGCTGTGGCCTTAATACTTCTGCTGTAGTGACATTGATGTATTGCCTGTCCTTCCCTTCCTGCTGTCCTGCTCACCTTCACTTGGAGGACAAGACTCATAGCGTACCCACTTCCCAGGAAACCTTCAGTTGACACAGAACCTCAAGGAGCAGCTAGGGCAGAGAAAGGTGATTCCACCTATATTCCACACTTTTGAGGGTAGCAGAAGAGAGGTGCAAGAGCTCCTTCCACCGCAGAAGTGTGTGGAGGGGCCCGTGAAGAGCAGGAGCTAATTGTTGTTTTCTGCACTGCCTGTGGCTCTGAGTCTCCTAGGAATTGTTAGTTCTCTTTTTCATTCTTTTGCTGCTGGGCAGAGGGATAGGCAGGAGGAATTAGAAGCGTTCCAGGGACCCATCTTCACTCAGAGACTGCCTCCATTCATCATGTTTGTGTTTCCAGAGCTCACTAAGAGACTTGCTTTCTCTTAGGCCCAGTTGTTTACAAATAAGCTTTGCAGATGCAGTGTGTGTGCAGGGTTCAGAGGCAAAAAGCCTCAATTTAGATCCGAATGAAATGGCAACATGTCAAAAACACCATTTTCTAGCAGTGCCAGGCATTGGACAGCAAATGTGTGCACAGCATTTGCAGCAGCTACGACTACCGCTAGACGGCTGTGTTGTTTTTAAAATATGCTGCCTGTGAGGATCAGTGCCTAAGAGCTTGGGTTAATTTATGAAATTTGGTTTCTCAGGGGAAATGTAATTCAACGTCAAGGGCAGGTGGGGATGAATCAGCCCAAGAAGTTCAGTTTTCTTTAGCGGAGATGTAGTGTATGGTATGTTCAAATGCTGAGCACCCTGGTCAAGAGCAGCCTTTCAAGAGTGCTCAGCTCCCAGTGGGACAGCCAGTTTCTGGGCATGCTGAACTGTGCCTGCCATGTGTGTGAGTTACTGTGTTTGGGTGGGTTAGGCCACCTCAGATGAGTTTCTCTTTTTGCTGTATTCCTGTCTCCTGTGCCTATGAGGAAAATGTGTGAAGCACAGCATCTTTTGGTAACCCTTGCATGTCTGTGCTTACTGTTCCATACGTGAAGTTACTAATATGCTCCACATGCCATATATGAAATTTTTCTGTGTTTTGTTGCCCATGTCGAAATGGAAGTATATGAAAACTTGACCCCTACTGTGAATGCTGAGGGTCATGAGGGTGACATTAAGAACTCCTCTCAAAATGCCCTTGAGTCTTCAGCTTTTATCTGGCTGATCATATCCCAGAAGTCATTATACTGCTTCCTATCAGCTTTTGATAAACTGGAAGGATTTTATAAAACACCCATTTTAAGTTTATAACGCAATTACTCTGTGATTGGTCTCATATACCTTTATGTACAATCCAAATGTTAACCACACGACAGAGTGAAGGTAGTACACAAATACAGTGTAATCAATGTTAATGGACTTTTAAAAGGCACATTTTGAATATAAGGCCAGAGATGGGAAGGATGACACCGTGATGTTGTTACTGCACATGTACACTGGAAGTGTCTGTGAGTGGCTGCAGTTAGGCGGCAGCAGCTGCATTGTCTGGTGGTTGCTGTACAAACCTCCATGCAAAGGCATCTTCTGGTTCAAGGAGTTACTTGTTTTTGTTGTCTAAAAGAGTGTAATCACACTATATTTGTAATGTATTTGTAATATAATTATCCACTATATTAAGTGCCAATTGCCAGACTGTCATAGATTGTCTCTTAATCTATGTTGCTTGTTCAGAAAACACTGCTA